CTATAGCCACCTTATTAAATTATTTCAACAAAATTTCACGACTTTTTTTCTTATTTTCACAAAATCCTTTTTTGGTAAATTAGGTTTATCAACTTAAAAAAAACCTTCTCACGGTTACCGTATGCAAACAACCTACGGCTTGTTGTATCCAAGTGCACTATCAAGGAAACTCCTGCAGAAAAAACTTCGACACACGATTCTAAATTCGTTTTTGAAGAATGAAAGTCGATCGCTAAACGTGAGAGGAAGTGACGAACACATGCGTAATTTGGGATCACAGAGACAGCGGACCAAATAAAACTACCTTTCAGAGTCACCCTAATAACCCGCATTCCCTACGGATGAAATGCACATGACAGCCTGCAGCACATTAACGGTAACCATTCTGATAAAAGTGATGGAAGGTAAACTCACAGTCTTTTTCCCCTGGCTGAGTCTTCGGGTGGTCAAGATCCCGATGTAGCTCCTCGTTCTCAGCCATTTCCGCTGCTCGGTCGGCGTCGACGCAGACGCTGGCAATTGAGCCCGTAGAGTGGAAATCGCTGATGTTCACCTGGGAACCCTGCGACTTCATGAAGATGAAAAGGGTGTTTTCTCCGAAGGGAGAGCAGGCGTCATCCTTGGAGACAGTTTCGGGAGCCGCGTCAGGGGGTGTAATGTCAATTTTGGGCACCACAATGGCAGGTTTTGGCGGTGGATTGGCTTCGGAGGGTGTAGGACTGACTAGACTAGGTTTCTCAACTGGCTCTCCCTCCTCCTTAACAGGGGCCTCAGTTGGGTTCGTCGGGTCGGTAAGAGCTGGGGCTAAGATCAATGTTGGCCGGAACAACTCAATGCGTTCCAAGAATGTGATTTTACACGATGGAGAGTTGGGTTCATCTGTTTCAGGATCTGACTCTGTCGACCTTCATTCGAACAAATGAAACAACGAATAAAGTTTTAGTAAGCTTCGGATAGGATTAGGAATGGGATTATTTGAGAGGGAAGATAAAGTATCGATGAAAGGTCACAACTAAAGTGGACTTCCTTGCGATCTTTGTAGGTCAATTATTGCAGATAAGGCAGATAATGATGGTATATGGTAAAAACGGTACATATCTCAGAATGGTGGCAAATGCACAAATTAAATTCACAATGAAAATAGAGCAGCATAACATGCTCTCCTTCCTGGATGTCCTCATGTTGAGAGAGGATGATGGTTCCATATGGCGATCGGTTTTCCACAAAAATACCCGGAAAGGGCAATACCTACAATTCATGAGTTTTGTGCCAATTCAATGGAAGGGAAATCTAGTACACACTCTTTCAACGAGCAAGGAACATTTGCTCTAGTGAGACCTTGCCTGAGGAGCTTCCGCGCATCAAATCAGCCCTAATCAACTGTGGCTCTCCGGCACGCTTTATTCAGAAGTATAGCAATTCTCTACGGCCAAAATTGATGGAACAGTCAGTTCCAAAAA